CATATAATCGGACATTCACCGAACCCTGATCACAATGATCGCATTTACAATGAGTCCCATCATTTCCAATACTTCAATGTTTTTCTTCAAAATAACTTCTCAATCTACTGCGGACAGCCCTCTTTTGCCACATAATACGAAATTACGTATGTATTCCAATTATTATTAATATTAAATTTCCTATTGCCGTCTCCTTTGTCAACGAAACCATCGATGACATCCTTACTTTTGTTGTAAACGAGATATTTATTGAAATTTCATCGAATATTATAACACAGATCCGTTCGTGTTCGGACATTTCCCCAACAAGAGCTTTTAAATTACCTATAACCCTAGAATCAATCCCTGCCGTAATATATCTAATTGGGCAAAATCGCAGTCGACATTTTTTATGTGGCAGCGCAAGCTGAAGATCATCCATCAAGAAGTTATGTGCCTTCGTTGACATATAATTAATATTTTGAGCTAAATTTGTTTGTTCTTTAGTTTATATATTGATTGTACGGACAATCATCTTGGAAAAATTTATTGCATCCTCAGTAGAATTTTTGGATGCAATAATTGTTCTATTCTCTAATTCAAATACTCTTTGTTTCAAAATCCTATTCTCATGCCTGAGCGCATTCATGCGTTCATTTTGTTTAAGGGGGTTCTGCTGATATGCCCGCACAATCCGAGCGCAATATTCTATCTTGTTTACGCTTCATCTGGAGATTCGAATATAATTCGAATTCCTTAAAGCTTAAATGTTCCCTCCCTAGAAGGACTCTGTTCAATGAAAAGCTACTGCAACTACCTGCATTTTCATAACATAATTTATGCTTTGGTAGCTCCTTCCTTAAGTCTATTATTTGTGACATAATTCGCGTCAAAATGACAGTCACAAATAAATAACTTTTTACGGTCGGAGTATGTTGCACTCATTTGTAATGCTAAAACACAGCTGTTGAAGGCAATCTCATCTACGCAGAATGAAAAAAGGATTTTTTTTTCATCCGTTGGACATTATTCAACGCAGCATTTTCCTTTTCCGTTTTCGATTGGGGAACAGGATCAATCGAATTTTCTATCATATATATATATTATATATTTAATAATTGTATTAACATAATTTATATTTAAGATAATAATTCTCTTAATAACAATGATATAATATATACACTAGGTAGAAAAAGTCTCCACTCACTCAAATTAATTGGAGAAAGTGTGTTGCTGGCTGCAGTGAGGAGCGACGAACATTTAATTTTCTATGTGAGGGACCGAATCTCGAAAGTAGCAAAAGTCCCATTCACAGTAGTTTCCCACCTCTGAGGCGTACGATCACAATAAACAACCTGGTGGCCATGGTGAGTTAGGGTGGCGAGGGATTAAATCGGGTTGCGCGTAGCAGAAAACGCCTTCATAATTATTTATAAATATTTTAGATTTTGGTTATTAATTGATGTTTAATGCTAACAATATGTTGATATAGGTAAATATGTGGCATATTTTTAAGCATTTTAATTAACTTATTAATGGACAAACTGAAAATTCAATTTAACTATTAGTGGACAGGAAGAAATAACTATTGTAACAGAATTTGATATTATAAGTAATAAATGTATATAATCAAAAAGCAAAACTTGTCATTGTCATAAAAGTGATAATAATTCCTTTAAACAATAAAGTGAAATTTATCATTGTACTTATATCAAAAAATCGTTAATGTGCCGATTTTTCTCTATTTAAGTATAGATTTATTTAATCACAAATTTTATTTACGTTTTATAATTTCATTTATTAATATTTAATTATATTTTTCAGCATTTAGTGGTGGTGGACACTATTTTATTACAGCTCTTGACATAAAAAATTACTATATTATTATATAGTTCTTAGTTTAGTTTTAAAATATATAGACTTCGAAAATAAATTATTTGTTGAAGTTGCAATATCTTTATTGTAGATATATTTCTTTTTAAAAAGTAATTTAAAATTAATAGTAATTAACTCAATAGCAATACTGCAACACATTTGAATTAGGAACAATATAATAATTTTATGTTTTTTTTTATAGAAACATTTCCGAACAACTTATTTTGGATCAACGGGTCAGTATTATTTTCTATAATTTGAATAAAAAGTATTTTCTCATTTTTTTTGTTAGATCTCCACTGTTGGCAATGCATGCACATGAAATATATATATTTATAAATGTAAGTATTGTTGTAATATGAATTTTTTGAATGTTTTGTTTTATTTTTATTTATTAATTATATATAATTTTGTTATTTAGTTTTACGGTATATGGGTGAAAATAGGCCTCCTGGGGTACCGAACACCCAAAAAATCAGTAACGCGCCTAATTGCATACCTCATGGTGGTGTCGAAAATGCAATATAGATAAGTACATATAAGGAAATGTATAAAATCTAACGAAATAAGACATATAATATTTGGCACAGAAAAATCCTGTTTTATTTAAACAAAATATTTATATTATTAGGTTAGATATTTAAATTCTTTCAATGAATGCAAATAGAGGTGTTGCAAATGAAGAAATTGCCCATGATTCTAACTTTTGTTGGGTGTGAGTACTATAATACTCGCCACATATTAGCTTTGAAAACAATTAGATGCACACTAAAACATTTACTTTGGTAAAAGCAATTTGATCGTAGGACTATTGTAATTTGCATATAAACAGTTTTGTATCATTTAAAACGTAATGTTTGTTTCTTTTCATCGGAACATATTTTTGCAACTTCCCTTTCCAAATCGTTGACATACATAAATCAGTTTCCAAATTTAAATCACTATGTAAGCAATCTAAAGCATCAGGGCGTCTATTATTAAAATTATATGTAATGTTAATTTCATCCCAAAGACACCAAAACTTATTATAAATTCCTTCAAAACGATATACCGATCATGCACTAATGGGCGGGTTCACCCGACACATTTATTAAGTGAATTAAAAATTGTAACGTCTAAAATACAACATTTCCCATTTATATAAAAAAATAGTAAACAAAATTAAATATTACTAAAATACTTAAAAGCTATAGCTTAGTATAATATTTATATATATATATACATACATATATATATATAGACAATAGTAATATATAAATGCCAAAATTTGCCAGAACCCAGTTTTGAATATACTCGAAAAAAGAAGAAGGCAAAGAAGAAATGGACACAAGAAATGGTCTCGAAAATTATATATCTATATATTAATTTTGAAGCAATTTGTCCCAAAAACCTACATATGCGAAACACATAATATTTTTGCCCTAAAGTGAGGAGTACTTAGGTCCTATTGAAAAACTTAAGTGAAAAAATATACGTATCCTAATATATAACGCTAGAATAGCATTACTGTTGCTATTATCGCAACATTTATATGGGCTGACATTCTTCATTTTGTCGAACAATAATTGCCCTACACCTATTCTGTGACAAGTGGAATCCAATTCTCTAACAAAAATTGCTTCTACTGCTTTCAAATAATCTACAAATCCCTGTGGCGGCTTAATCAAATTGCACCTGTCCACTTGCCTTTCCTGCGTAAAGAGATATTCTAAAGAAATTTCGTCTCCTAAGTAGGGTAGAGTTGGAGCAAGTGTGTGTTTTAAATATTTTTAAATATAAGTAGCCGCTAAAATATGCAAATGCATTTTCTTTTAAACTTCAAATTGCTACTATAAGAAATGTCAAACAATTATTAATAAATAAAACATATTCAGCCATATTGCAAAAATAGGCGAAGGACAAGTTAAACGACCGGAACTATAAATGGCATGGATAATATGATCCGAAACTCTTTGAGTCGAGAGCGCTGTAAAAAGTCCACATTTTTTATAACATTTGACAATGGTGCCACTGTGGAGAAAATAAGTTAGGGAATTTTATTACATTTTTGGGAATTTGTAATTCCACACACCACTGAGGTATACAAAAGGCGAGTTACCGAAGTTAGTTTTGGGTGCTCGTTCCCCCGTAGGCCTATATCACCCTTATAGGTACAAAAATAAAATCACAATTATTTCAAAATTCACAAATAATATAAAAATATACAAAATTCATCATATAAGAAAAACTTAAAAATTTTATAACAAAATATCACATTCACATATAATAAAGCTGTGGACAGCAAATATTTAAATAAAATAAATAAATATAACTAATGCCTAATATGTACATATTTACATATTTACATATATAAAAATATCCTACCCAGTTTTCAGTAATAATTAATTATTTAAAACTATAAGGACCGAGAAGAAATAAGAGCTTTGAAAATAACTCAACTTTATATATTTACATAAGTATATGGGAAAAAAATTAAAAATAAAGTTTACACACATATGCTTCCGTAGTGATTTGAAGATATTTTACCACCTACTCCTAAAAGCCTAATCTACCTACAAGTGAGAAACGCATAAAATTTTCGACTTAAAATTAGGGGTGCTAAGGCTTCTATTATAGAATTTTGCTAAAAAGAAAATTCTGATTTTTACGAATAATTTTAATACTAAATCTGTGTTGATGTTGTCACAACAGGAATAGGGCTGACACTTTTAATTTATCGAATAAAATCTGCCTACACCTATTCTATGACAAGTTGAATCAAATTCCTTTAGGAAATTTATTTCTAATTTTTTTAAATAGTCTAAAAATTCCTGCGGCGGTCTTACCAAACTACACCTGTGTCTTTGTTGAATAAAATGAAATTGGGTTGAAATATCTTCTTCTCCTATATATGGTAAGGGTTGGGAGCAAGCGTGTGTCTTATAAATTTTTAAATAAAGATAACCGCAGAAATATGCAAATGCATTTTCTTTTAAAAAATCGACTTCTAAATCTAACTCTAAATTTTCTCCTCCTGCTATCCGATTAAAAATATGGCCTGGTCGTGGTAGACCTTGAAATTCTTGTCAAGAAAGATCCCGTACCACATTGTCATTGCACACGCTTGCTATTATTTGGTGAGACTGTGCAATTGAAAAATTTTCGTTTTGTGGAACGGGTTCGCAGTTATTTGTTACCCATTTTCGTCTTCTAGTCTTATTGTCTTTAAAATTCTTACTGCCTCATCTAAAAATTTTAACTGGTCGTCTGACCCCGAAAATATTTTTTTGTTGGCAAAACAGCTTCAAAATTGCTACTATTGAAAATATCAAATAATTTATTAAAAAATAAAACATACTCGGCGGTATTTAAAAATCGAGCATTAGGGCACGACCAAAGCCCTGAACTATATGAAGCGAGCATACCAGAGGCTACGGTATCGCTCATAACCTGGGACGCTAGCTTCACACTCATTTTTTGAAAGCTATTCGGAAACATATGTGCTTCAGACAGCTTGGGGGCGCAACGCACGGGATTTTGGAATCCTTATTATAAAAAATAAATAATGTCATCCCAACTCACCGGACGCGATTCAAAACTGACTTTATTTTTGAATTTTTAAACAATTCCTAGTGCTTTTAGAAGGTGGGGCTATCAAAAAAAAAAATATCCTTGCCATTGACCTGAAAATATGGGCGCTCTTCTGTTACTCCTAAATCCTAGATAAATATACAAAGTTTGATCCTGGTCTGAAACAAAATGGCAAGGTATGAGACCTATGTTTTGTATTTGGGTGATAGCCTCAAATATATATTTTTGGCAATATCCCTTTACAGGATCCATGGACAATGAAATAAGAGAGGGTGTGACCAAGGCATTCCACCATACCTTGAACCTAAGAGTCATTGCGCTATTACCTATTCGCGACGTGCGATTTATCGCCGTAATCTTCTACTCCTATAATTTTATCGTATTTAGGGACGTATTGCACATGGCTCTTAAGTGACATTTCGTCACACAAAATCGACACGAACTTCTGAACCTGCGTGAAACCCCGGTTCTTAACTCTAAACACTTTAAGAACTATTACTACAACCGGGGTCTCGGGGCCATTCGGAAACGAACTCGTCAAGAGTTCTCTCTTCCGGAAATCTAAGAAGAGGCTTTAGGTGTCTATATGCTAAAGGTGAAAAAAAATATACACCTAAAGCCAAAGTTTTGAAGTAATTGTCGTATCTACGACCTTTTGGTTGACGGCTACAATTTACTAAACTATTTTTTATAATACTATTTATTTGAGGAGAAAAATTTCTACCTAAAATATCCTCAAACTTAACCCTCTCCTCCATTTTAATTTCCCTCTAAAGAATTTATTTCTTTGACATTTCTTTCATTGAAATTTTAAATAACTAATCTCCTGATCTTTTCTTCTAATTTAACCCTCAAATTTGCTTTTTTTCCTCCATTAACTTTTCAATTTTCTCGCAAAGGATGTCAAGCTAAACTAGTTTGACATCCTTTTTCTAATAATATCGCCCATGGAAATATTTTCCAAAACTCCTATTTCCTGTGGTTGTGCGTCTTCGGCTACAGACGCTAGTAATAATAGGTCGCCCGAACCTGAGGGGTTCTCGACCATTTTAGGTTCAAAATCTAATATGCCTAATTTAATAGTCGAATTAGGCTCCACACATTCTACCTGAAAACTGGGTGTAGGAGGTAAATTTAAGTTCGGAACCGCAGTTGGTGACAGTCTCTTCAAATATTTCACTTCATCAGAGAAGTGACGGTCACAGGCATACAAATATTTTTGATTGGTATCTCCTACACCCAGTCGTTGCGTCCAAAGTGTATACCTAAATGCAAACAAATATACCCTAAACCTTAATAACTTTACTTATTATACTATATTTGAAAATAAAATCTACTAAATAAAACTAATATTGCAACATTTATTAGTATTTACGATACTTTCTACTCACGTTTCATTTATTTACAATTATATTTTATAATTAAAGTACTATTTACATCTACGCTACTCAAAACAATATATTACATTGAATTCATTAAATATTAATATTCTATTTTCTAAATTATATTACAAATAGCAAGTATGCTTGCTATATTTATTTTTACGTACTAAATTGCATGTAAATAATTTTAACACATGGAACACTTTATAATAAATCACTTCTAATTTAAGGAAATCATTATATTTTTCTACTTATTAAAATAATTTACGAACTGGATCCTTCCTTCTCCTTGTTGGGAAAATTGAAAAACCGTCGCGCTCCTACGCACCCAGCCACACACGATGTTTGCATTTAGGCATTTTCCTATAATTTGTTAGGAAAACGTTATATTTTTAGGGTACATATATTTGCTACGGTTTAATAACTTACTTACCAATTTTATTTTATATAAAAACTTATACAAATATTTTTAATTAATAATATCCCATTACTATTGCTGCTTCA